TCACTTTATGCAACCTTTAAAAGATTCTTGAAATGGGTGTTCTTGGGCTCTAATTTCTCCACTTTTTTCTTTGATTTTTCTGGTGAGCTCTTTGGGTTCTTGAAGTGGGTATTTAAGCTTAAGTTGGAGTGGGGAATTATGGAATCTTGAATCTCTTTTATTCAACCTTTAAAAGATTCTTGAAATGGGTGTTCTTGGGCTCTTATCTCTCCCAACTTTTTGTTAGTTTTTCTGTCAAGTTCTTTGACTTGTATTCAAGCATACCATTATCCTTTTGCTCCACCCTTCTCTCTTTATCAATTTCAAGATTCTTGAAATAGGTATTTTTAGTACATTAATCTCTCTCTCATTCTCTGTTTTCTGCTAAACTTGAAGTTTCCTGAAGTGGGTATTCTAGCAAACTTCATTCTCTCTCTAGATTTCTAGTTTCTTGGAGTGGGTATTCTAGCAAACACACACACACACACACACACACTCTCTGTGTGTCTGCTTAATTTGAAGTTTCTTGTAGTGGGTATTCTAGCAAACACACCATCTCTCTCTCTCACACACTAATTTCACTCTCTATGTGCTCAATTTGAAGTTTCTTGAAGTGGGTATTCTAGCAAAAACACACACACACACACACTCTCTCTCTCACACACACACACACACACTAATCTCACTCTCTCTATGTGCTCAATTTGAAGTTTCTTGAAGTGGGTATCTTACCAAACTATCTTCTCTTTTGATTTCTTGAAGTGGGTAGTGATCAAAATTCATCAAAAGCATAATTTTTGGTGATTCATCCAAGAAAATGGGGTTTATTGAGAAATTGGTATGGCGGAACACTTGCTCAAAGAAGCAATGCAGGAGCTTGTTTTGGAGAATGAGGGCAGCCATGAAAAAAGCAGTCAAAAACCAAACATTTCTTGTTGCTTTTTATGGAGGGCAAAAGAGACATTTCAACTACCAATATGATCCTTCAAGCTATGCTCTCAACTTTGATGATGGTACCCATCATCATGATCATCATCAACATCATCATCATCATCATCATCATCATCATGTAGTGGAGCATCCCAAAATTACCAAACTACCCCCACCAAATCGACAAGGTCCACATTCTACATGGGTCTATGTTGTTTGGGTCGGATCTTTCTAGAGTAACACCTAGAGTTGCATTCTTCAAGTACTATTTGGGTTACTTTGTTCTGGTCGGATCTTTAATGCTATTCGGACCCTTTTTATGCGTTTTTTTAGTTAGTTTTTTTAGATTTTTTAATGTGGGTTTTAGTCAACAACCCGACCCGGGTCAACTCGGTTTAATGGAAAGAGGATTTAGGTTTTTGTATGGATAAAGAAGGAAATTTTAGTTCTTTGCAATCCGTGCTCCCAAACTTATAGTTATTTACAGTTTTGCCCTTCATGTTTTCTACTTCACACTTTTAGTCCCTTGGTTTGATTATATTATTAACTTATTGTATACATGTAACAAAATATTAATACTCTCTCATAAACATTTAACCTCAGTGTTAATAAAAAATTGTTTCTCTCTCATAGTACTTATTTTTTTGACAGTTCTTCATATTTGGAGATTTTTCTACTGTCTCTTATGTTTTCTCCATTTTAAAGAAAGTTTTAAGGAACCTGTTGGAGTAAAAAATTGTTCAAAATTTATTTTTTTCTCTATTTTAAAGAATCTGTTGGAGATACTCTAAGGTTGACATACTTGCATAACGAGTCAGTGTTGGTCGTGAGGGTAAATAATACAGTAATAACACAATTACGTGGGGGGAGGGGGACAATGTTTTCAAAGTGTGTTATATCAGAGGATCCTGCAACTAGACAAATTGGCATTATCCTAAAGAGGTCGTTCTTTCAAAATTTGTTACTTCCTTCATCAAGTTGTTTGTTGCCCAGTCTTCTTCGTCGAGCTCAATTCAGCTGTTACTGCAACTGTTCAGCACATCACAGTTGATTTAAGATTGAGTAGCTAAACTTGCCAGCATCAGGTCCTTCAAACTTGTTCACCGGTAGACATCCTTCATATTATCTATCAACAAATGTTAAACATCTTGTTTAAGAACATAATCCAAACAGCTGATCTTGTATTATCAGTTGATGTCAATCATCAACAGTGCCTATAAACGACATAATCCAAATTTAACCCAATATTGTCAGTGTTTGTTTATCAGCAAAACCTTTTCCTAAATAAGGCTTATCAGGCGAAACTCCGGGGTTTAATTAACTCAAGAAACCACCCACATGCCTTTCGAACACATGATTTATCTCTCCCAGTCCCAAGCATGTGTTTTCCTAGGTGAAACTATTCACATATTATTCAGTTCAGTATTAAATATCCTTAAAACATGTTTCCAAGATACAATCAGTAATAATTCATAACAAAATGGTGATACTGTTAACAACAATACGGGTATTGCAACCAGAACATAAGATCCGGTACTAACTAGACACAATTAATGCATGCCAACACGGATGCCAACATAAAAGAGAGGGCATGATAGTACATGTCATTGAATCTTGGGCACTTTTGAAACAACTTTAAAAGTGAGAGCCTGAATTTGTACTTGTCATTAAAGTGTAGGGTGGTTTTCTGTCAACTTTTAGAAGAAAGTGGTTTCTTTTTAGGTGTCCGCACGTTTAAAGCGACCAATTACTATTTTGGTCCCATTTGCGTGATCCTCTTAATTCAAAAAATTGAAAAAAATAATATTTAATTATTAACATTAAATAATTATCAAACAAAACTATTATAAATTCAAATGAACATATACCTTTATTCATACTATATTATAAAATATTTGACAAAATTCTTAAAAATCATTTTTATGCATAAAGTACTGTTTATTAATGCATGTTACTTAAAATTCAAGATTACAAGTAGATTGTGCGTAAGTATAACTTATTAAAGCTTCGTATCTACATTCGTGTAACTAACTACAGATAAACATAGTCAAATACAGAATAAACATCTCATTTTAAATATAAAAAATTTAAAATATAATTAGAATAATCATTGAGTTCTAACAGAATACTTAATTATTATCTTTATAAAATATTATATTATTAAACCAAAAATAAATTATTTCATTATTAAACTTAAAATTAAAAAATGAGAACTTTTAAATAGTTGATTTGATATTAACATTGATATGTTTTTTTTTTCAAATTTATATTTTATTCAAAAATAAAATCATTATTGCTTTCTTAAAAACACATAAAATCGTATTATAACATCGACAAAGACAAAATAAAATAGAACATTTAAATCGAGATGTGTCTCGCTGTATTGTGCGAGTACTCTTCTAGTAAATTAAAAGAAGGAAAACAAATAGATTTATATGATTGGTTGTGATTAGTTTATAAGGTTTGTACAAATTGGGTCGGTTTGTATTTGATCACTTCTCTAAATATATGTATATATATGTATGTATTAAAACAAAACTTAAATACATCAACTTAAGATTTTAAATAACCATTACAGCTAATATGAATAAAAATAAAATTGGTCAACCTCACATTTCCCAATTGATTAATGATTTTTCAAAAAATATAATTAATAACTAAATTAATTATGGTATTTAGATCCGTTAGTACAATTTTATTATATATGAAACAAAATAAATATTACAATGATTTTTATGTATACGTTTTATAATTGTTATATTTGTTTTCTGATAATTTATGTTGAATGATAATTAAAAATTACAAAAATAACTGATATGATTAATAACATTCTAAATAATTAATATTAGTAATAAATAATAATTAACATTAATTAGAATTATAATAAAAAAATGTGATAAAAAGCTCCTAAAGCTCAAATTCAACTAACATTTCAATAACGTAGCTTGTGTTTGCCAAATAATGTCTAAAGTTAGGTTCTCGCCCCTAATGTTTGTCTATTCTAACGGTTCTTGTCCTTAAACTTTAGTTTTTTATTTTTCGTCCCTCACGTTTATAAATTTCCAATGGATTTCCGTTCCTTCGTCTTACGATAGTTAACTTTTTTCTGTTAAATTTAATCAAAATGAGGGGTGTTTTAGTCATTTTATAATTCTTGATTTTCTAATTGTTTCTTATACAAATATAAATATGAATCATATTATATAAAAATAATTAGAAAAACATATAATTCATTTCATAGAGAGTCAATTTCAAATGCAAAGCCACCTTTTAATCGATAAATCTTTTCTAGAAATACAACTGAAAATATAAAACAAACACTATATTTTGAAAACAAAGATGGGCACAGACTGATCCAAGAAAATATGATCAAGTCAACGGTCTGGTCACAAACACGATATTATAGATATGCAAACACATAAAAGAAATTCTCGTTTTACACTTTTGGCTCCAAAGGTAAAAATACCTGGAGGTCTTAGGTTTAAATCCAATTGTTAATAAAAATCCCCTTGTGGCCACAAAAGGTTCAAATGCGGTGACTCCGGGTTAATAACAAAATAGGTGGTTGTCCTGGGATTAGTCGGCTTTCATAACGGGTTGGATATCCAGGTTAATAAAAAAAAATAAACTCTTGATTTTCGCACTTATAGTTTGTTAAAATTATGACTTACATCCCTAAGCTTTTCAAATTACGATTTTATCCCTGTGGTTTGCAATTCATTGTTGTTTTCAACCATGAGATTAGCCATTAAAATTGCAGTTGTCCATGTGGTTTGCAATTCAGTGTTGTTTTCAACCACAAGGCTGACCATTGAAATTACAATTTTGTCCATGTGGTTTGCAATTCATTGTTGTTAGACTAACCATTGAAATTACAATTTTGTCCCTGTGGTTTGTAATTCATTGTTGTTTTCAACCACGAGGCTAACCATCGAGTGTGAGGGATGAAAACAACAATGAATTATAAGCTATAAAGACGGAAAAAAAAAACAAATTGTAGACCACAGGGACTGAAACCGTAATTTCAAAAGCACAGGGACGTAAAACACAGTTTACTCAAAAGTTAATTACAGAAACAAGATTCATCAACATTCTGAAACTCCTCTTTTATTTAACAAGAGAACCCAGAAAGTGAATACCTCCCAATATTTTTGTTTACAACTAACACGATGTCCAACACATCATGAAAACATTTTCAAATTCAAACCCTAACCCTATTTTCACATGACCTTTTTGACTCCTTAATTCGCACATCGTGTTCGGTCAAACAAACGGGTCTTCGAGAGTGGCTGTGAAAAGATCGGTGATGCGTGGATAAGCTGCCTTTTCGTCCAGCTGATTTTGAGCCCACAAAAGCATTCTTAATAAACTTGGGAGCTTCGGGTCTGTGAATCAAACGTTATATACGTCAATGTCAAATCAAAACTAACCCAAACCTTCATATAAAGCGAAACCAGCATCTAGGTTAGCACGATTTTAACAAACTGGTGCGGTTTAGATTCAAAAATAATCATGGTGTGGTCCTAAATCTAACATGACTTTGATGGTTGACCTTCAGGATGAGTTTGGTTCATAGACAGGACTGGACGGGCGAGAGTGAGGTAGGCGGGTGAAAGAATTGTGTAAGATTTTAGGGTTTCAATTTAACATGGGTAGTTTAGTAATTTACCAATCTTGTCCAATCCGTGAAATCTATTACACCTATTTTGGTGGGATAACAAAATGCATTTTTGTCCCATTCAGTCGTATCCTGGTCTAATGTTTAACCAAACATGTGATAACAGGTTTTTTCTGTTATGTCATGTACTGTCCTGCGTATTGAGCGCACCCTAAAAGGCCAGATGGTCTCTTATCTTTTACAAGAGAAGGAAACCGATTTAAGAGACCCATTCCTAATTGGGTTTCTATAACATTCACAGTTTCTGACCACCAAACACACATGCAAGAGAGATTTAATTGTTGTTTACCTGCCAATAGTTGGGAATGACCTTTTTATATTCAAGAGATCCTATGCTTCATATCACAAGATAGGAATTGGGTCCGTTTGTTAACAGCCTAATGAGCTTAATGGGACTCGCAGCTTAATGATATGGAAAGTGGCTTATCCCGTAAGCTTCTAGAGGGAGCTTTATGCAGAAAGTCAAGTTTTCTCCAAACCCGTCCCTCTTAAATAAAGAACACGTTTTTTTCCACATGTGAAAAAACCCTCCGAAACAAACACTCTTAATCTATACAGACATATTAATCCACAGTCATCTTTATCCATACAAGACTTAATGGAAAAACTAATCAATCAGTTCCTTAGTGTCTCTCATGGGCCTTCGTTCATATATCAGTCATGGTGACCTTCAGGTGAAAATAACCTAATTTTTCTAAACGACAAAATGCAACAAAGTTTTGTTTAGTTCCTAATTAATGTAACAAAGAACTTTTCTCTCAATTGATGCAAAAAAATTTCTAAATTTCCTAACCTGTGACCCTTTTCACCATAAACTTGATGATTCTGTAATGATGATGTGGATACCATTTATGAGAAAATTTTACCAGACTATTTATGAAAGGGTTAGGGTCAAGTGGACGATAAACTTGACATCCATGTCATCAGATGTTAAAAGTTCAGCAGATTACCCGTCAAAATGAGTAAAAATAGAAAATTTTGAAACTTTATTACATTAAAATAGGAAATTTTGGAACTTTGTTACATTGATTGAGCAAAAAAAATTTATTTGCTATACAAAATAAGAAGTTCAGAACTAAAGCAAAACTTCATCGCATTTTGATGCATTTTACCCTTTTCTAAAAAATTGATGATGACCAAATGGGGTTTTGAACTTCGAATGCTAATCCCTAGTTTCTAGCAACTTAAGCAAGGACACAAGGAAAAGAATTCCAGACCAAATGAGCCAAAAAACGCAAAGTGAACTATGATATCAACCGAAAAAACTCAATTCATTCACAAGATATTCATGGATAATTGATATGAACCAACCTTTTTCATGGCTTTGACTTGTAAGGATTGCTGCATTGACCTCACTTGCCGTTTTTAGACGTTGCGATATGTCTAAAAGATCTCCAACGGGGCTATTTTTCACATCTTCAAAAGCCAGAAGCGCAACCGTTCTCTCCAACTCCTCTAGAAAGCTTTGCTGCAATTGTGGGAGCATATCTTTAGGAAAAGTGGTACAAAGTGCTATTTATTTATGACCATTTAACATTTTTATTTTGGACGAAGGATCGTGTGAGAATAGGAGTTAAGGTGATCGGTGAGAAGCATAAGAAGGGATTTGGACCCTTGATCACTTTTAAACTCAAAACAACCCACGAATTGCACTTTAGATCCGGTGTATCTCATTGGTGTTGATCTAGTGGTTCTCTTCAATTAGGATTGATCCAAGGGTGGAGATCCCTTATTACCCTTCTCACCATAACTTTCATTCTCACCGGAACCCAACCCTTTATTTTGTGAGTCACATTTATATAGTGTGGTAAAAAATGTGATTGCAGGTCTCAATACGAGGAAAAATGAAGATGGGATCCACATGATGGAGATATGAAGGAATGATACCAGTGTAAGGAGACGTTTACCAAACGTTTACCCAGGTAAGCACTTACCAAGTCACATTACCTTACCGGATGCATATGACAAGGACCAAAAATCTTACCTGGTAAGAGTGAGGCAAGGAACCGAGAGTCTTGCCCAGTAAGTGAATGCAACGACTCTTACTATGGTTAGATCTTACCGGGTAAATTATTGCATACGATGCCTTTTTCATTGACTAAAATTTAACCCAGTAAGCAAGTGACGGTGTTGAAATTTACCGGTAAACGCTTACTGGGTAAGCGTTTGGTAAACGGCCCCTAAGCCTTTTAAGGTGTCACTGAATTTATGATGATTTAATAGGATTCCTTCATTCCAAGAAAATTGCAATGCTTGATTCGACACATGGTTCGGGAACAGTAATAAATAATGTTTTTTTCTCGATAAGTGTAACAAATTTTCAAACTTTTCTATTTAATGTAGTAAAGTTTTGAATTTTCCATCTTTTACCCATTTTGACCTGTAACCTGTTAACCTTGTAAGATTTGATGACGTGGATCTCAAATTTGTAGTCCACTTCACCATAAACCCTATCATATAACTTTTGTAAATGAGTATCCGTGCCATCAAATGTTACAAGATCATCAGGTTACCGTTTAAAATGGGTATAAAATAGAATATTTTGAAACTTTGTTACATCAATTGAGAAAAATAAATTCTTAAACTAAATAAGAACTAAACCAAACTTTGATGCGTCTTGCCGAGGGAAATAAATTGTTAAACTAAATAGGAACTAAACCAAACCTTGATGCATCTTGCCCTATTGAAATACCCTTCAAGAATGAGAAGGTAAGGCCGAAGGGCATCCCATGAATTATAAATCAATATTATCAAAAAAAATTATGATAATGAAAATATTTCAATTTTCATGGGACAAAATTATTGTGATTTTGATAAAAAAAAATAAAAGAATGTTATCATCATAAAAAAAGTTGGCGATAAAAAGCACAAGACAGGGTCTTTAGGGTGCGTTTGGTACACTGGACATGACAAAATAGGGATCACTATTCCACGTTTGGCAGGACTTTTATGTGGAATAGAGGGGAACCGGGTGGAACAGGCGCGTACCACCTCCACCCTATGGAACAAGGTGGAATACACCTATATTTTACCAATACAACCTCAAAATAAAACCTAATTCTCTTCTAAAACATCAAATATGTCTCCCTCTTTACATTTTATTCACTCTTTAAATTTTATTTAATATATTTTATGCTCTTTAAACTTTCACTTTATTGTCCTTAAAATATTATTTTTGTACGGTTTCTATATTTTGATTAATTTATTTGTAATTTATTCAATTATTAATAATAATAAAAATAATATAGAAAAGGTATAAAATAAGAATTGGAAACAACATAAACTTTCTATTTTGGTGTCATTCTAATTGTCTTAACGAAAACTTTATAATGATATATTTTGCTATTAAAATATTTGTTTTATTATAATTTAATAGATTACATAAAGTAATCAAAATATATAAAATATAAACAACTCGTTAGTGGTAAATTAGTCATTTTATCTGTTATAATACGTCCAGTTCTGTCTTATCCAACACTGAACAACTGTTTTGTATTGTCCTATCTTGTCTGGGTACCAAGTGCACCCTTAGGGAAATAGCCACTGAACCCTTTTGGGCCAGAGGACATGTCAGTATATATCCCACCCCAGCCTGTACCTTCGAGTGGGATCTACGGGGTTTATATGGTTTGATAAAAAGTATAAGAGGGTCAGAAATTACATTTTCCTCTCCCCTAGGAGCGAGCTCCTCCTGGGCGAATTCCAGAGCCTCTTCGATCTTTCCATTCCGAATCAATTCTATCAACCTTTGCTGCTGCAGATGGAAAAATAGCTGGGGATTTGTATCTAGAATCTGCATAGAGATATTCGTCACAGTCAACACCTTTTATCAAACAAAAGCACCCATAACAAATAAAGATGAAGAAAAAATAGGCCCCATTGGCTAAACCATCTTCCTCTACTTTGTGGGTTCCATCTCCATATAGTTTCACATCATATAAATGTGACCCACACTACAGGAACATCCGGCAATGGACTAAACGAAGCTTCGATCAGTTCATACTAAGTTGCAATTTTCTGTAATCACCCTAGCTACATAGCGACATAATGAAACATGGCCAAAGTTCTATAAGCATTGTGCTCATTAAAATCAGAATGAAAATAATCGGATATATATATGCCATCAATGATGACAAAAGGAGAATTTTGGAGGCATCAAATTTGCTAGTAAAAACTACACAAATGGGCTTCCTATTGAATTAATTTTTCCTTTTTTTTTTTTCTGATCTTTCTGCATTTTCTCGAGAATTAGGATAGAGAACAAGGATATTAAATGACATTGGGAAAACAAATTATTTCAGCTTAATATTGCTTAATAAGAAACAATGCAAATAAAAGCATCCCAAAGTAATAGTAGTTGCATTTTATAAGAATAGAGGTAGTAATATTATTAATAGTATTCACAAAGAAGAAGAAGCAACTAACCTCAGGATTCAAATCATTAACTTTTTCAATTGCGTCTTCAACATTCCCCGACTGTACTGCTTTCTTGACAGCCATACGATCTGTAATAGTTGCAAGGTCTATATCTGCTATTTATCTATAAGGAAATTCATATAAACGAAGAGAAATAATTTGAATCATTGCATTAACATTACAAACAAACTACAAACAACTCATCGAAGAGATGAAAAGGATACGTTCTGTGCCAGATTCTGTTCGGAACTTCTCTGCTGCATCAACATATCCCTCAGTGACAAGAAAGTTCATAACCAACTTGTTCATGTCTTCTTTTCGAATTTTAACATCATTAAGCTTTTTCTCCCACTCGTCCCTTGTTATTACCTTCTTTGACGTAGCCTACATATGATAAATTGATGATAACAATACTGTCAAATGCTACATCCATCACAAGAAAAAAAAAAAACATCCAATTCGACTTTCTTCTCTCTTGGAAGACTTGAAAAACCACACCCAAGGGTGTATATCTTTTTTCTCCACTAATGACACATTGTAATTGATAGTGATACACAAGTGCAGGAGTCAAACTTAGGACCTCTAGGATATTCTAAGCAATTCCCAACCACTTGAGGAGACCAAACTAGCAGTCCAAAATCCAAGGTTGATATTTGAGTGTCAAATGAATAGCTCTAAAATTCAGGATTGACAAGAATAAATTGACTTGTGTAAGAAAAACTGGTAAATATATTTAACTATATAGAAAAGGGTCAAGTTATGGACAAGATGTCCAATTATTCTTCTGTGCCCAAGAGGTCAGGGGTTTTAGTGACAGAAACAATTTCGTTGGCAACTACAAGTCTACAAGGAAAGGTTGCACAGCAAAAATGGAGTTCGAGTCATGAAAACAAACCTCTATGGCAACCACAAGGGAAGGTTGTACACAAAGACTACCTCCCAACCCAACCCTTGGCACTTTGTGCACCATTTAACTTATATAACTTATTTAACAGTTGCATTAACCCTATAGTATATGCTATAAGAAACTGACATAGAACGTGGCTCTCTACATGAAGATTTTATTACCTTTCTTCCTTAGCATCTCGTGCTTTAGACCTCCAATAATTTTACTGCACGACTCTCTCAATCTTAAATAAACCATCTTCTTCCTATAAGGATTTCGTCGTTTAACCCATATAGTTTAATAAAATAGTTGGGTCATCAATTATCTGTCTAAAATACCCCTTTGGGATGAAAAAATGATGTAACCATGTGTGCCCAAATCAATATTCTAGACCAACCACCACGTATGAAAGAACATAAGACGTACTGAGTAGCTCAAATTTTACTGCTAAACTATATCGAGTCTATATAAATATGATTTCAGACCGTTTATCCATTGAACGAAACAACAGTAAATACAATTTTGCACTCTTCTGGACCTATTCACACCGGCTAAGTGGTTAAGTCTCATTGGAAAGCAACCAAGTTAAATCTCATATATACCACAGTGGAATTATCCAAGTATTTTAGTACAAACCAGAGATTCTGAATTCAAATCCACGAATGCTTGCAGTGGGCCAGCATGGTTCTACCGAGGATAAAAATAAATACTGTAAACAGTATAAAACCTCACCAATATACACAAGTCTAAACACATTTACAGGGCTAGGCCCTTTCAGTACTTGAAACTCACAAAATCCCTAGCAATGCACAAATCTCACTGCTAAAAGTTCTTTGTAGAGTAGTAATAACTAACCTTCAAACCCATATTGCTAAAAATTCTTGTAAAGTACCAATTTTAACTAGTCCAAGAAAACAAAAGAAACCCCATTTCCAACTGTTAACCTCATACAAACCCTATTACAGATGAAACACATAATTGATCTTTAGCACGAATAGCCTTAAGACTCAAAATCACGAGACTTGGTTCAAATCAAACACGTCGATCAATAAATTGCACATAGTTAATCGAATTAGGGGTTTCGAGTATAACTAATTTCATGGAAGAACAAATGAGAGAGGGGATAAATGATTGATTACCATGGCTTCACTCTCTGCTAGTTGACGGATGACACTCCAAAACAATGACATCAGTTTACTGCTCGAACCTTCAAACCCATCTAAAGAATCGAAACACTTTGATCAGTTTTCTGTAATTTCGTCTAGACTTCCAAAGTTTATAGATCGAAGATGAACAGTAGGTTATACGAATTATAGATCAAGATGATTGTCCAAAACTGACCCCTGAGGTTATGGATATTTACACTTTCTAACTCTATCTTTGGATGTTTTCTTTTGGGACCCTCCTATATCTTTTTGGTACGTTTGGTATCTATACATGACAGAACAGAATAGAACAAGAATTAGTTGATAACCTCTTATGGTTTATTAGAGTTGTTTCGTTGATTTCAGTTGCTTCAGGCTACGGTTTATTAGATTATCTGAAGTTGTTTATGCTTCGTTTCTACGGTTTACCAAACAACCATCAATTAGTTGGTAATCTCAGATGGTCAATTATGGTTAGTAAATTGTCCAAACTTTATGCTGCTTTTATGTTATTGTTTGGTTGGTAAACTCTACATTTTGAATAATAGAAAGCTACGATTTGCTATCGTTTCATGATTCTATTTGGTTGGTAATCTCTTATGGTCGATTATGTTTGCTTAAAAAATTGTTCGGACTAGGTATGGAATCAGTTAGAGAATCTTCACACCAAAAGAAACGTGGGATTAGTTGGAAAAAGGATGGGTTGGTCCAAACGTTTCTTAAAAGCTTGTATACACGAGACAATTAGAAATTGACGAGAAGGTAGTAGTCTTGAGCCACAGTCGTGGAAAAATGTTGGAGAAGAGTTGAAAAAGAAACATAATGTTATTGTCGACCAAGGACAGATGAAAAATCACTACGATTATCTTAAGGGAAAATATGCAGCTTGGTCGAAATTGAAAAACAAAACTGGGAAGAATGGTAGATATAAATTTCGGTCACTTTCTTTCTTAATCTCTATATAATTCTTTTTTTATAAATTAAGTATATATATATATATATATATATTTTTAAAAAAACAAAGGTAAATCCATGGAACCATTGAGAATTACCAGTCTGCTTTTCCTGAACTATGTGTTTAACTATTTGATGGGGTTGCTAGTGTTGTACCTGAGAGTTATGGAATAGCATCTACGATTCTTGATCCTTACGACTCTGATCCCAACTTGAATGAAGGTATACCTGACACAAAATAAACTGGGGGGCCAATCGACACACAAGAAACAGGGGGGTTAACTTCAACTCAATGGTGTTCTTCTCTCCCTCCAGTACAAAGCAAAAAGCTGAAAGCTAAAGAACCATCTACTTCAAAAAAAAAACGAAAGTTGAAGAAACTATTTTGAAGGTTATGAATATCATGCTAGAAAAAACACGAAGCACCAAAAAATGATATTGATGATTGCTTGAAGAAGTTAGAGGAACTTGGATGGAGTGCATCGTTGCATGACACATCACTATTTGTTTGAGGAGAAAGCCCCGACTATATTGATGTTGCTTTCTCGAGACGCATATATACTATTATGCATCCATTTTAAACAAAAAAAAGATAGTACGAATGTCACTGTTGACGAGAAGATGACTGTATTTTTGACAATTATTGGGCATAACGAACGCTTTAGAATGGTTAAACGAAGATTTCAGCACTCCACATAGACTACTCATAGAAACTTCCGTGAAATGCTACGAGTAATGATGAAATTTGCAAAAGAAGTTATACGACCGACACCCTATGAGGAAACACATAATACATCAGAACGTCAAAGAAACTTAGACGAATATTTCCGGTAAGTTTTCTGTTATATTTTGTAAACCGAAAAGCCTGTTATATTTTCTACTTATTTATATTTTTTTTTTAATAAAGGGGGCAATAGGTGCTTAGATGGAACTCTCATACATGCAATCGTACATGTTGATCAACAAGCTCGTTATAAAGATAGAGGAAGAGGTGAATGTTATCGAAATGTTGTAGGTTTTTGTGATTTTAATATGCTTTTCACATACGATTTTGCTGGATGGGAGGGTATAACACATGATGCTAGAGTGTTGAGAGAAGTTGCATTTAGTCCAACCTCTGGCTTTCCATTTCCTCCACAAGGTATGTACAGTTTTTACTCAACTTTAATTGTTTACCATTACCTACACATTTTATATAATGCGGTTATGCTCAAAATTTTAATTGAAGATAAATATTATCTTTGTGATGCTGCTTATGCCAACATTTGTGGTTTTATGACTCCATACGGCAATACGAGGTATTGGTTGCTGATTTTCGATGACAACATGCCTTGACAAACAAAAAAAAAGGTTCAACCATGCTCATGCACAACTCGGAAACGTTACCGAGCGTGCCTACGGTGTCTTGAAGACAATATTTTCAATTTTAAAGCAAATGGTTCCCCATCCGTTTTGAATACAAAGAAATGTTGTGATTGCATGTTTCGCGGTTCATAATTTTATAAGAAGATGCAATATCTACGATCAGTTATTCATGGATTATGACCGTGATCTCATGTTTATTGCTGAGGGACAAAAGAAATTGAGGGAGGCAATGAAGATGACACAGGCGGAAGGCCTTTTGGTACTCAAAACAATCAATATATGACTAATTTACGGACCGGATTGCAAATCAGTTAATATTAAATGCATCAAATTAAGAATTGTTCAAAAACTATTATGATGGAATTTGATTGTTATGTTTTCTTCTATTCTTTAACTTGAAAAAGTAATGTTATTAAGTTTGTTTAGATTAATATAAAATTTTATTTTGAACTAATAATGTTATGCTTGTTTCGATTAACATGAAATATATGGTTATATTTGCAAAGTAATTGTTTTATTTAGATATCTGTCAAACAACTACATTTCATTCTGTACTAAGTTATACATAAGGTTAAAATGGTAATTTGTTGTCATTCAGAGAACAGTTACCGAACAACCATATTTCATTTAGTACTTTACCACTCTGACCCTTTTAACCATTCTGACGACTTAACTATACTGCACCAAAAATTCCTCAACTGCCAAACATCCCCTAAGTCAGTATTGTTGGTGCTCAGATGACACTTCATATATTGATAAAACCAGAACAAATGAACCCAATAATATGTATGACTATTACGTGTTTAATTAACGAAAAGACAATTTTACCCTTAATTAGAGAGAGAGAGAGAGAAATTCTTCATGTTATAATCAATGGTAAAATAGAAAATAAATATTTACTTTTGAACCTCAATACTTATTGTAAGACAAATTAAAATAGTAATATAGATATTTATTTTGAGACAGATAAAGTAATTATTATACTGATTATAATTATAATGATGTATTAAATTATTTATCCAAACAAAAATAAGTAGTTATGGGTTGTTTGACAGTTGCTGAATGGTTTGGTGCAGAATGATTAAGTGGTCAGAATAGTTAAGAGACTCTCATGATATAAAATAAAATAAAATATAATTGTTTGGTAATAATTTACAATGAAATTAGAGTATTGAATGGTTAAGGGAGGCCCATAATACAAAATCATTCATAGGGTTTTAGAACCATTAAGAAACAAACTTCTTTTGTTAAACAAGATTCAGCTCTTAACAATTCAAATACTGTCTTTTAATGAAACTATTAAAAGGTAAAGAAACACTTTATAATTAACAAAACTAGTTTACATAAATGACATGTACTATCATACAATAATACCATTTTAATATTATATAAGGTAAATATTTGAGTTTTTGTACTTTGAAAATGCCTATGTTGGAGAAACATGTCTATTTAAAAAAATATATATTTAAAAAGTCACATCAAAACATATATCTTTAAATACTAGAAGTGTACTCACACAATGCAACAAGATACAGCTCGATTTTAATGTTTATTTTTATTTTTTGTTTGTGTTAATGTTATAATACGGTTTTATATCATTTTGAGAAAATGATAATGTTTTTATATTTACATAAAATATAAATTTGAAAATCCCATAAAAACTTGAAAAAAAATATCGATATTATAATCAAATTAATTATTTAAAAGTTTTCATTTTTTGTATAATTTCTTTAATCTGATTTTTTTATTACAATTTAGTAATAAAGTAATTTATTTTCGGTTTAATAATATAATTTTTCTATAAATATAATAATTTAATATTCTCTTAAATGTTAATGGCTATCCTAATTATATTTTTTAAAAAATTATATTTAAAATGAGATATTTATCATATTTTTGATTATGTTTATCTGTAATTAGTTACACAAATTCAAAATAAAGCTTTAATAATTTGTACTTACGCACAGTTTACTTGTAATTTTGAAATTTAAATAATATGCATCAATAAACAATATTTTATACATAAAAGATAGTTTTTTAGCGTTTTTTTGTCAAATGTTTTATAATATAGTATAGATAAGATTTTTAGTACATAGTTTTTTGAACGTGTATTATCACAACATGTTTCTTAAAATGACAATTAAATAAAGGTACATTTAGTTTGCCGTTTCATTTAATTCAAAATGTTATGAACTTTCTAACTTAGGTGCTACACAATGTTTCAATTCACGAACTTTTGACCTATATTTGTACAAAATTTATCAAACTTTGTACGGGTTTGTAGTTAGGCTTCATTGTTTAGTTAATATAAGGAACAAAGGGAACTGAAATAAACAAACGGGTAACGCAAACATGGGTCTTGCATTTGTTTCTCTTTTTACAATCTTAAATGACGGAGTGTAATAAAAAAACCGAGCTAAAATGATGTCAGGACTTGTAGGATTTGCCTTCCTTTGAGTCCAACGACACTTCTTAAATAGTGGGGGTATTTGGATGTGCCTTTAGAATGTGATTTTTTGATAGTGGACCACTACAATAAGAAAATCATCTATGATACGAGCTGAAGGGTTACCATACAGTTTGGAAGAACGTTTTTCAGCGATATTGATGTAAATAAATTTGATTTTCATTAAAGGTTGCAGTTCCTCTACAAATTGAGCAACCGTTGACGGTTTAGAGAGAAATACGAAGGAGAACCAAATCCAGGGTTTGTATTTTAGCTTCGATGCGAGGTAAGTTTCTTTGTCTAAGTTGCAGTTGGAAGTCCACTGTTACTTGTTCGGTATGTTAGAGTTGGTAAGTAGTAGTCGTGGGTAGT